CACTGACTATAGTAAACTAGTAATACATACTCCTTTTTTGGCGCGGCGCGTTGGTTATATTTATAGACGTGTGGAGGCTTTCTAGAATTTTCAACTTTACAAAACAATACAAAGCTACATTTAAGCGTTTACATACAAACATTTAATGTTGATTCTTACTCTCGAGAATCTTCTACAACTTTGGAGAATAGACGGGAGTTTCGCAATACATATTCAACAGTATAAGCTATGTATGTTTCTAAATATAAATGTAATCTAAACAAATGTCGATATTAAAATAAATATAAAATAATAAATTCGTCAAATTAGTTAAAGTGCTGCTCTTGTACATGCAGTAGATAAATTTTGATTTGGTTTGTCTTGAATTTCTCGCAAAGCTACACGAGGGCTATCTGTGCTATATATATATATATATATATATATTTATATCTATATTAAAGAATGTGTGTTTTACAGTTTTCAAATTATCATTATAATCCCAATATCTCTGCTACCCTTAACGCTTCAATAACGCTCTTTGTTTTATTATTATTTTTTGTTTATAGAAAGCTCCTACATGCAATCTCGGTTACAAACTGAAAATATCAAATTACCAATACTCTAATACATATTAAATAACATTACAGCAGCAAGAATTGTAAATTAAATTATGGCTAATAATCAAACTACTGATAAAGATAAAATTTGCCTTTCCAAAATATAAGTATTACAGATTTGTATTACTTTATATATTAACCATTGATTTTGTCTACACAATAGGATTAACCTTTAACTACGTTACAATCAAGGCATAGTTTAGGATTTCACTCATTTTGTATAGAATATAAAAATAATCATAGTAACCTAACGGTATAAAACATGTATCCAATCTATTTACCAATGCATCCACCCTTGAAAACTACAAATATTCTGGCAGAGGCTCAAAAAGTAAAGAACAGTTGAAAGAACTACTAATTTCATACTTTTGTAACTTAAAAAGAATATATCCTTATTTAAATACTTAATTTTCAGTTTTGTTTTTCGTTCAGGAGTTCTAAATATGGATAGATGAAGTCCTTATAAACCAGATGCACAAAAGTCATAAACCTACGCTAATCCTCTAGCTTAGACAAATGTTACATACTACAACGATTGTTCTTTAAGGCTTATACTTGTTTGATCCTGTTTCTGTTAATGCCCTTGTGTACTGAAGTCGTTCTCATTTCAAGATGTGGAACAGAGACTTGTACAAATTAATGTGAGTTGGGTATTTATCTCTCTTGAATATGTAGAATGGAAATTATTGCTGACATAGATAATCTAGCATTGTGGGTTACCTCACTAAGATTTTTGTCTGTCTTGAAAGTGTGGTATCATCATTTTGATCCTTTTCATCTCGTGGTGTTGTTCTGTTCTTCTACTCTTGTATCGAAATAAGTCTCCATGCAGTATACTTTATTCTTATATGAATGCATAATTTTATTTTTTACGCACATGTGTTTGCTTGATTTTCTTTTCTATGGGACATCAATGTTCCTGTATATCAAATTCGGTAAAATAAAAATATTTCTGTCACGAGTAACTGAACTATTCATGCTGATAAATGTCACAAGTATAAAACTGACTTGTATCATACATGGAATGGAAGAAACATCCACTGGGAACGAAATTCAGAGTTAAAACATTTCCACTAAATAGATGTCTTTAGCAAGGTTGATGAAAAAAATATCTTTGAGGAGGATGATGTTTCCCGTGAAAACGAATCCGAGAAAAGAGATTTCATTGATGATGTAGTGATAATAGCTCCAAAGAAAGTAATAGCGCTTATGAAGATGAAGACTCTCAGAAGAAGAAGTCTAATGCAAAACACCTATTGGAGACAAAGGAGGTGTTTCAAAAAACAGTCCTTGGTATGATATGTATTTATTGGTTCTAACTGGTGTTGGCCGAACAGAAGCAAGAACGAAAACTGATGAGCTGGTACCCCAAAGAAATACACTGAGGGAAGCTAAACGCTTAACATAAGAAGAATTTTCGGCAAGTTTGAAAAAAATAACTTTGAGAAGAATATCTAGAAAGATAAACATTCTATCAACAACTCAAACGTTACTTCATTCACAAATCGGTCATACAAAACAAACTAAAATTAAAAGAAGCTGGAAGCTGTTAAAGCAGCTGTGAAAAAGAGAAGACATTTTCGAAGAGATAATTTGGTTACTGATGGTGTACTATTTAAGTAATAAAAAAATAAAATACAAATAATAACAAGTGACTCCAACAAATACTATATTAAATGTATGTATACCATTAGTATCTCACGAAAGATATGTGTGTGTATTTGTGTGAGAGTCAAAATGTTTATGGCATGGACGAAAGCTTCATAAACCCAGTTCAGCTTCAGTTTGTTTTATCTCTCTATTTTGGTGATTACTGACGTTAAAGAAGACAAAAGCTTGATTACCAAACCAAAGGATGATGTTGATAGGGTGGTATGGCTTTAAACTAAACTAGTCCGTCAATCATGATGTGTTCGAATCTGATGAGTCAGGTAGCACCTTTCATTGACATTTAGATACCTACAAAATTAAGTAATTAACTAATGATTCAGATTGGATAAGTGGGATTAATTACCTGAAAATATAATACTTAATGGTGAGGCAGGGCTTGAATTAATATATTTGTAAATAATTATGAAATATTAAACATTGTTGGAATTGATGAAAATGGAGAGTGACAAACTTTCAGTCTGTTTAAAGTGTCACACTGTTTGAGCAACTGGACTTGGAAATACAAATCATTCATCTGCATATTAAGTTAAAGAAGGTATATCTGAAAAATAATTTTCTTCAGAGCTTATTAGAAACATTAGTACTAAAGCCTCATGAAGAGAATCCATTAACAGAGGAAAATTCGTCAACATTTGCAAGCTTATTTCAAGCATTTTACAAATCATATAATGTTCAAACTGTTCAGCAAAGTAAAAAAATTCTCTGTTCTACGCTAAATAAAGTAAACAAGACACACTAACCATATACCAAGAAAACAAAATGTTGTATATAAAGTGAAATGTTGGTGTACATGAAAAGAACATCATATATATTTATAACTTTTAAATTCGCTGCATGATCTAACTGCATGATTTAACTAAGAACTATACTAAAATACAACAATAACATCCCTTAACTATATAATCCACTACATAATGACGAAATAATTAAAAGAAAAACGCTTATGAAGTGCATGCTAATATAAAATTAAAACAAAACCCTGATAAAACAAGTATGAAAATAAAAGATTTTACAAAACTTCTTTCAAATAATGAAATGATAAACATATATATAGAACAGAAAATACAAGAGGAAACGCTTTCAAAGGATTAAATAATACATATATACACCAAAAATTTTTATAAATATATGTTAGGTATACAAAACAAAACACTTTTTAACATAGAATATAAGAATATACCCTTTAACAAAGAATGCAATATATATATATATATATATATACACGAGTATGAAAAATACACCCCTAACCAAGAAAATGCAATAATTTCGTCCTTAAGTAAAGTCAAAAGAAAATGCGTGTGCACACACACACACAAACTTTAATACACATTACATTACTACACCTTCAGAAGGGCATAGTCTAAAAGGCTACACATTTTCACACAAAAAAAGAGGACTAATCAAGATGGGAACTCTTTAACAATGACTGTATAAAATGTCGAGCTTTATCATATCCGTATATACATATACATAACGAATACTTTTTAATAATTACGATAACAAAAGTAAAAACTCTTTTTAGTAAAGATGGATATATTATACAACATCAAGTATACTACAAACCTCAGAAATACGTATAAATGTTTAAAAAAGCGAAAATTAAACCCTTTTTAATAGATAACATAATATCAAAGCATTACATTTACACAAAAATAACACTTTCATCTAAATAAAAAATAACAACATAAGAAGAATGAAAACCTTTAACTTCAGAATTCAAAATACAATGGATGGAATACCCCATGTCATAATAAAACAGGAAAACATTTTCCTCCAAACTTCCAAATGAAGATACAGATAGATATTTGTACGTGTATCTAAATAGAAATGTGGAAGAAAAAGGAATGGATACAAAAAATATAAAACTAACACTGAACAACTTAAACTAAAATAAAATGACAATATATACACTTTAAACGAAAAAATAAATATTCAGCTTACAAAGAGCCTGCTCAAAATTCACCCCCGCTATCTCAGTGCCGCGATTAGAATTTTTTGGGTCCTAGGCAAGAACAGAATGTGCATATTGTTACGACATCGAGGTCACATGACTAGTATCACGCCACGTCATAATCGAACTTTCACGTCTTTTCCTTAAATCTCGTGATCTTTCTATATATATATAGTGTAGTCTTGTATATATAAGACTGGCCACGAAGCGGAACGGGGGGGGGGGGTTACGAGTAATTGAACTGCAGTCAGAGAGTGTGTAATTGAACGGGGTATTGTTGAAGTC